CGTGTTTTACAGGCATGAGCTCATTAGTATCTCCGGGAATCTGGACACGGGGCGGGTCTCACAGCCTCAGGTACAGCCCAGGGAACGTACAGCCCCAACTGGACAGCCCAGTGCACAGACGTGAGGGGTCTCGGGCCTGTTCCTGCCTCCACCCTCCCTGAGTGATTTTAGAAAAATCCTTTCCTCTGGCTCAGCGTCTACTTTCCCACCGGTAAGCCGGGTGGGGTGGGGTGGGGGCTCCCTGGTTTCTGGGGCTTCTTCCTGCTCTGACTGGTCATCCTCTGAACCAGCCGGCACCCCAGCCCCACCCAGCAAGAAGGGAATCTTCCTAAGAACGCACACAGAAGTGATCGTGATCACGGAGCCCCTTCTGGGACTGGCCAGGGCTGGCGTCAGTGTCTGTCATCCCTCAATTTCACCTGGGGGTCCCTGGCCCGGTGACGTAACCTCCCTGGGTCTCAGGTGCTGTCCCTGTAGCCTGAGCAGCCACAGCCCCTCCCCCCAGGGCCAGCTGAGCATGGACTCTGTCTTCCCGTAGGAAGCGCTGGGCCCCGAGGCTGGGGGTGATGATGGCCCATTCCAGCCGCTGAGGGAACCGTTGGCGTGGGACGAGCGGGGTCGGGGGCCACTTACAGGAAGAGGTTCTCCATGATGTAGTGGTAGTCGGGGGAGCTGCTGTCCGGGAGGAAACAGGCAGCAAACACGATGATGGCGTTGAGACCTTCGCCGTAGTACCCTGGGGAGAGGCGGCCAGGTAGTGGCTGGCACTCTGAGCTGGCCCCTGCTCTAGCCCAGGCCCCCACCTCCTCGCCAGCCAGACCCCTTCCCAGAGGGTACAGCTCCGAGTCCCAGCACCTTGGCTGGGGGAGCCAGCAAACCCCTGAGTGCGCCCAGCCTGTCCCTGCCTGCCCCAGAGACTTAACATCCCTACGGCTCAGATGAAGAGACTGAGGTCCACAGAGAGCCTCTGATGATCTGCAGTTGGCTGGCAGGAGCCAGGAGGAGCCCGAGGGTTGCGCTCTCACCTCCGTGTGTCACCACCCTCATGTAGGGCCGGATCATGTGCAGGTCGATTCGGTGCTCCTGTTCTCCGATGATCACCGTCCTCCACAGGCGCCCATTGGCAGCACTGCCGTCCTCCGCTGCACCGTCCCCAAACAGGTCTGCGCTGTCCCCGGGCATGTTCTTGGCGGCAGCCACGGGGGTGTCATCTGGAAGGAGGCCGGGGCGAGCATAAGGGATGCCTGAGTCCAGACCTTTTGTCCTCTCGCCTGTTCCCCTCTCCCCTGCTGCCGGTGGACGCGTGACCCTCATCATTCTCCCGTGACACTAGTCCATGTGCTTCTCCCTGCCCAGAGGCCCTGCTTGTCCGTTTGCCCCTCCTACTCTCCCTCCATGGCTCAGCCCAAATCTGCCTCCTCCAGGAAGCCCTCTGGGGCTCCCTCTTTGCTGGCCTCGCAGAACACTCTGTTGGTTTTGAACTCAGAGCCTCTGAACACCTATACTATGCAGGGAGGTTGGAACAGTGATGGAAACCCCCAGCACCAGGAAGCCCAGGGCTGGGCGCGGCTGAATTCCAGCAAACATCTAAAGAGGTAACACCAGGGGCGCCTGGGGGGCTCAGTCAGTGAAGCGTCTGCCTTCAGCTCAGGTCACGATCCCAAGGTCCTGGGATGGAGCCCTGTATCGGGCTCCCTGCTTAGCGGGGATCCTGCTTCTCCCTCTGCCTCCGCCCCTCCTTCCTGCTCCTGCTTTCTCTCTCCCCACTGCCCCGCCCCCCATCAAATAAATAAATAAAATCTTTTCAAAATAAACAAACAAACTGGTAACACTAATTCTCTCCCTCTTGGCACTGCAGAAAATCCGGGGCGTCCTGGGTGCTGAGTGGGTCTCATGGGCCCCCCACTCAATGCCGGGGCACTCCCAGTGTGACAGCCCCAGACATTCCCAGACATGGCCCCGTGACCCCTGGGGCAGGACCGCCCCTCAGGCGAGACCCCTGCACCCCTCGTCCTGTCCCAACCCCTCACCCTACTTCCCTCTTAGCACTGGCAGCCAACAGCAACGAGCTTGTGCTCATGTTGTCTAGCGTCCGTCTTCCTGCCAGCTGGATGCCATGTCTCCTGCCATATCCCCGCCACCCTCCAGCCCCCTGGTCAGGACCTGCTCCTGCACAAATTGTCCCCCCACACACCTGTGCCATCGGTGGGAAACCTTTCACTTTGGACTCGGTCACATTTGAGAACCACGTGGAAGCCACGAAAATCCCGCAAGTCCACCAGAGAAATGCGTGGGGCATCGCAGCAGGGGACGCACGCTCTGGGCACTGCTCGGTGAGCCCCGGTTGGTGGCCCCGGACCACCTGAGCCCAAGGGCATGGAGCGAGTGGACCGGGCCTCACCTTCCCACTCTAGCTCGTTGCCGTTCCCCAGAAACTCCAGCGAGTCAGTCTCGTCGGGGGTCTCGATGTCGTCCACGTTGATGTCCAGGTCGTCAGGGGTGTCCAGGAAGTCGTCGGACAGCAGGGAGCCCTCGCTCTGGTCCAGGGAGATGTTGATCTCTGGGGCGACCAGCGTCTTCCGCTTCCGATGAGCTCCGTTGAAGTTCAACGTGTTGGGAGGGGCTGTTCGGAAAACAGGAAAATGAGATGAAATCATTGTCACTTCTTCTTTCCTTGTCCCCCTCCCCGTCTCCTGACCTGGCGAGAGCTCCGCCCCATCGTGTGGAATGGTCAGAAGTCAGAGGCCATCCTTTGGGGCAGGCAGGGTTCAAGGCTGCAACATTTTACCCTGCACACACATCGCCCCTCTGTCTGCCGGATGGGCCTCAACGCAGGGGGAGTCGGGTCAGGGTCACATGGACGGCCGCGGACCAGCCCCCGGGCAGCCTTCCCCGCTCTGGACCCGCCAGTATCTGCGAGCGCTGTTGCCTCTGGATACGGCAGCAGAGAACGTCCCCTGTGCTACTTGTTACCTCCCCGTGACGTTCACCTCTTTAATGACCGACACGGACCACGCCACGTGAGCCAGGCCCTCTGCGAAGTGCTCTCAGGTTGCAACTTGGCAAGACCCGTGTGAGGCAAGTTCTGTTATTATGCCCTTTATCAGGTGAGCAAACTGAGGCCCAGAGGGGGCGGGTCCTTCCAGATCTCTCCTGAGCTGGTCAGGATGGGCGTGCCTCATGGTTTGAGCTGCTTTCTCCTGGACAGTCCTAGCTGGGACTCTGGTCTCCTTGTAAAAACGACGTCCCTCTCCACCCTAGCTGCCCCTAGTGGATCCCACAGCGAGCTGTGAAGAGCTGGCCCCACGGGGGTGATGGAGGTTACCTTCTGTTCGAGGAAAGGGCCCCCCACCTGCAGTCCCCAAGCCAGCTAGAGGGAAAGAGTCTACCCTCCCAGAGACCTTGGGAAGTCACCCCCAGCTTCATTGGTGGACAGCGAGCACAAAGTAAAGGAGCCCGTGGGAGAGCCCACATTCAGCGATCCGTAAGTAAATGGACGAGCTCCTCACTTTTCTTTTTCCTTTCAATTTCTCCAGCCCTAAGCTGGAAACAGGGCTCCTGCTCCCTGAGCGGGTAGAGCTGCAGGTCACAGCACGGTGGCAGGGAGCCTGGGGGTGTCCACACAACACCCTCCCCCAGCAGGGAAGCTAGGCAGTGGCGATGCCCCCGGCGGGCCTGCAGGAAAGAGCACTGAGCCAAAGAGCGTTGTTCTCCAGCCTTAAAATCCAATAGAATTTGCACTTTAAAAAAAAAAAAGCCTAACAAAATATGTGCTGCCAAGCTTCGGACTCGCTGGGACGGATGATCTTTTTCTTCCCTCCCCTTTCTCCTTTTTGGAATGAGGCTATTTATCCCCGACCTGTCCCATCATTGTATTTTGGAAGTAGAGAACCTGTTGGGTGTCACACGTTCACAGCTGAAGAGGGATTTTGTCCCGGGATGAACCACACCTGAATCTTCCGCCTCTTAACGTCCCTCAACTGATTAGATGCAGCCCACCCACATTATGGTGCAATCTGCTTTACTCAACATCCACTCATCTGTGTGTTAATCTCATGAAGAAAGTGACTCTCAGGGACGCCTGGGTGGCTCAGCTGGTTCAGCAGCTGCCTTCGGCTCAGGTCATGATCCCAGCGTCCTGGGATCGAGTCCCACATCGGGCTCCTTGCTCAGCAGGGAGCCTGCTTCTCCCTCTGCCTCTGCCTGCCTGTGCTCGCGCGCTCTCTCTCTCTCTGACAAATAAATAAATAAAATCTTTAAAAAAAAAAAGTGACTCTCAGGGGGAACATCTAGAATAATGCTTGACCACATCTCTGGGTACTGTGGCCCGGCCACGTGGACACATAAAATTAACCAGCACGTCCTCTCCATCTCCTGTACTAAATAAATCTCATCGGCAAAGTCCCTTTGGCCATGTGAGGACACATTCGCAGATTCTAGGATTAGGATCTGGATATCTTTGGGGGCTCTTATTCAGCCAGCCACACCTAGGAAGGGGGGTACATTATGACGCAGCCCTCACTGTACAGAAGTAGGAGACAGGGTCGAAAGGGGATGAACCCAAGATCTGGGGATGTGACAACAGCAGGCAGAGCCTGGTGCTCAGGTCAGAAGGAGGACTGGTCCTCTAGGGTGCCCCAGAAAACTGGGACAAGCTGGTCCCTGTCTCTGGCTCATAGGCAGACCTGGCTCTTAGTGCTGTGTGATGTTGGGGATGTGGCTGTCCCTCTCTGGTCAGTCTTTCCTCTAAAAAGTTGGATGCCATGGTGAGCCACACAGGGGAGATGCAGGCAGAAGGGAGGCCCCCAGCAAGACTCTGAACAGATGCCACGGAGGAGAACACATGTTCAGGGAAGCTCCTCTCGCTACCCTGGACCCCCATCTCCGAATTCTGGGGTCTGGAACCTCAGAGCCCTGAGCCTTCCTGAGTGCTTAGGGCAGCAGAGCCTTCCCAAGACTGACTGTGCTGGGTAACCCCTGGGCACTTTATATATGTCATCTCATTAAATGCTTACATGCCCCTTTCTGCAGGAAGCTCACTACCTGAATTTAACAGATAAGCACTCGGAGGCACAGAGAGGCTGAGCAACCAGCTCAAGGACACACAGCAACACCACGTGCCAGCTTTGTGACCGGGCCCACACGTCTCTCACCCACACTGGCTATTTTCCCTCCAGGCCTCCGAGCAGAACAACCCCCTTCCCTGACACTCCGCCTGGGAGGCATGGCCTCTGACCCGGGTATAGTCTCAGCCTCAGGCAGAGCGAGATCTGGAAATAGCGCGCCCGCTGCCGCACGCTTAAGGGAACACTTACAGGACGTGTCTTCTGTGGGGCTGCCAAGAGGGTCCATCCCTGTCTCTTCTGGGAGTGGCCTGCAGACATCCGCCACCGGAGCACAGGGAGCAAACAGCAAAAGACTCGGTTAGTTCTGGGGAGTCACCCGGACGGAACGCACCTGCTCGTCTGCCGGGAGATCATAACACATGAGAGCCGGAGGGCTCCCTTCAGGTCGTCTCGTGGACATCAGGCTGTTCTGTCCTCCTCTTGGAGGCAGAAAGCCAAAACCCAGAGAGAAAGAGGGTCTCATGCAGGGTCACAATTTCTCTTTGGAACAGACGCAGTGCTTTCTGGGGGGGGGCCCTGCAGAGTTGGGTCTCCGACGAATTTTGGCTACTAAATGCGGCAAAAAGCTGTCGAGGAAACACGGCCATCAGCCAAAAGAGCTCGCCGCGGTCAGCGCCTGAACGGTTCGAGCGACAGAATACATCACAGGGCATCGGACCAGAAGCCAGAGGTATAAAATAGAGCGTCCATGAGTCCATGAAGAGGTAAATAAATGACTGAATAAATAAATAGGGAGACGAGACAAAATTTCAGTGCAGAAGATGTCCAACGAATGTCAAGGGAGTCCTTCCTGTAAGCGTGGGCTGGGGAGGGGGGATGGCATGCAAATGGGTAGCGAGTGACCAAGCAGGGGAGACACCTGACTGCTCACCACAGCCAGGGGACCGAGGCAACGTCCGTGTGACAAGCCGTCCCCCAAGATGGCGTCAGGAGAAGGACACTTGACTCAGGGATCTTCCTCCCCAAGCCCATCCCCCCCCAGGTCTCACCGTGAGAAAAGCCCCAGACGAATCCAGGGAAGGGGCTTCCTACCAAACCCCTGCCCCGTCCCCCGTGCCACCGTCAAGGGGCACCAAAACCTAGGGAAGTCTGAGAAACAGTCCCAGCCCGGAGGAGCCCAAGGAGACGTGACGACTCTGTCACGTGGGAGCCTGAGACAGGGTCCTGGGACGGAAAAGGGACACTGGGGGAGATGAGGAAATCGGAATAGATTGTGGAGTTTGCTTACTGAGAACGCATCAACGTGGGTTATTACTTGTGACCGAAGCACCCTTCTAAGGCAAGACGTGAATCACAGGACAAGCCCCATACAGAATATGTGGAAACTTTCTGTAATATTTTTGCAACTCTTCTGTAATTCTAAAACTTCTTCCCTTTACTTATTTATTTAGAGAGACGTATGGAGGTTGGGGAGGGGAAGAGGGAGGGAGCAGAGCGCCCGCTACGCGTGGAGCCGGACACGGGGCTCGACCTTCTGAACCCCGGAGACGATGATTTAAACCAAGATCGAGTCAGACTGAGCCACCCAGGCGTCCCTGTAAATCTAAGACCCCTAAAAGGGCAAGTTTTTTTCTTTTTTAAATAACGCCGCCAACTATGCGTTTGTATCCCTTTAATCCTCGGCTCAGCGTGGAATTGCAAAATAAGGCCTTTTTTAAAGATTTTATTTATTTATTTATTTGAGAGAGAGACAGAGAGAGCGAGCAGGGGTTGAACGGAGGGAGAAGAACAAGCAGACCCTGCACTGAGCAGGGAGCCCGACGGGGGGGGCTCAGTCTCACTTCCCTGAGACCATGACCTGAGCCGAAAGCAGGAGTTGGCCGCTCACCCGACTGAGCCACGCAGGTGCCCCAAAATAAGACCTTTTTTTTTCTTGGCGATACCTGGGCCCCTTCGGGGAGCGAACGCTCATGCTGCCGGAGTTTGACCCATGCGCTGCGCAGGTCCTTTGCTCCTGGGAGATAATGGGTTGGAGGCAGGACTTTTGCAAAGCCCAGCGGCTCCCAGAGGCCCCAGCCGCAGGCCGTGCTGGCCCGGGGAAGCACTGCCTCACCTGGGACACTCAGGAGAGGAGGGGATGGACGGTGCGTTCCTTCCCTTTTGAGGACCTGTTCCTCTGGGCGCGGGGCTGGTTTGCTTCTCCCTCTTCTGCTCGCCTTCCTCCCACTCCGCAAACATCTAGGGTTCCTTGAGCAAACACTCCCCGCCCAGGTGCAGGGGAGGGTCTGGGGGGTAAGGGAAGGACGGGACCTCGCTCTGCTCCCATGCAGGTCAAAGGGCCGCACTGGAAAGTCCCACAGGAAGGGACGACATGCGTCCACAGGAAGGCTCACACCCCAGTGTTCACAGCGACAGGAGTCACAGCAGTCAAAACGTGGAAGCACCCCAAATGTCCACTGGCAGATGCACAGATACACGCGGTGTGTCCCCCACGCGCGGGCAGGTCACCCGGCCCCAGCAGGAGCGAGGCGCCCCCACGCGCAGCCCTGGACCCGACCCCGAGCCCACGACGCGCAGGGAGGGAACCAGACACAGGAGGCCACACGGGGTGTGAGCCCATGCGTGTGACACGCCCAGACCAGGCTCCTCCATGGACGGGACGGGAAGGGGGCTGGTGGGGGCTGGGGGCTGGGGGTGACAAGTGGCTGCCAAGGGGGACGAGATTTCATTTTGGGGAGCTGGAATGTTCAGGAACTCAATAGAGGTGAGAGCCGCTTAACATCGTAAATGTACCAAACGCAACTGAGTTGTGTGCCCACAACTGCTGCTCAGCGGGAGGCCTGCTTCTCCCTCTGCCCCTCCCCCTGCTTCTGCCCGTGCTCTCTCTCTCTCTCTCTGTCAAATATTAAATAAAATTTTAAAAAAGAAAAACAAGCTTGGAATGAGGTCATAAGAGGCCGACAAGGCAGACACACCCGCTGCGAGTCCCTGCTGCTCGCCCTGGTCTGCAGCTCCACGGGAGTGACCCACGGAGCCCAGGGCCCCAGAGCCCAGAAACACACCTGCCACCTGCCAGCTTACACCAGGCGACAGACTGACGGCGGAGGCCCCGCGGCAGGTCTCGTCCTGCCCACGCGGCCCTGGAAGACACTTTAATTTGCGGTTGGATCAGAGACAAGCCACAAACATTTTGGATTTTTGTCTTTTTTCAACCACGGCCCTGCCGTCAGTGAGTGGTAACCACGCGCCAGGAGCGGACTGCGGGCCGCTCCCCTGGGTGCTGGCATGTCATTCTGGCTCCCTACGGTCCTGTCCACCGCCAGCCCGGCGCCCGCCGCGGTCTCCGGCTGCGATTCCCGTGCGGGGCGAGCCGGAATCGTACTTACCGCACGGGCAGGGCGCCCGCGGCGGGCCGGCTGGGATGTTCTTACCCGCTCCTCACAGCACCTCTAGGAGGCAGAGAGGAGCCCACTGCGCAGAGGAGGAAACTGAGGCTGGCCTCTGACCTCCACCCTCTCCCACTCCTCCCCGGGGGAGGGGAGGAGTTACAACCCGGGGGCGGAGCGGGTGCCAGTCGTTGCTCTCTACCGCCCCCTGGTGCTCGTTCGGCGCACGTGCACCGACCCCAGTGGGGACATCAGGGAAAAATCCACCAGCCTGGGAGCCTGGGTCTCTGGACCGCCTGTCCTGCCCCCGTCTCCCCCCTGCCAGAGGGAAGCTGCACAGTTTTGCAGCCCGGGCTGTCCCGTTCCTGGACAGGTCCACCGTAAATCACATGTGGGCCACAACCTAGTAGAACGTGGCCCGGTGACAGCGGAAAGGTCAAGGTGGGGAAAGCATCTAGCTGCTTGGTGCAGACGGGGAAACTGAGGCCCCAGGGAGGCGAAGCGGGTGTCTGAGAGAGCCTGGAAGCACACTCCCGCTCTGCCACTTTCCAGGGTGACGCGTGTGGGTGGCACCCTTCCCGCTGAGCCGGTTTTCCGCATCTGTAAAATGGGAACGGAACTAGCCCTTCCTTTCCACTCAACTAACAAAGGCATGTTGGGTGTCGGGGCTCCAGGCTACATCACCAACCTGAGCAGAGCGAGGACAGACCTCCCGGCCAGGCTGCAGGAACAGTGAGTCGATGGACCACCCAGGGGCTGCTGTCAAGACGCCTGGTAGATGGACATCCCCCATCCTGGGACGCCAAGGGAAAGACACTACACTCAACAAGGCGGGTCTCCTGCCACCAACAGACGTCAAGGTCTCCCCGATGGAGAAGCAGCTTTGTCCTCACTACCACGGGCGACCCCAGCCTGCCCTGGGCATTTCAGACATGCCGGTCCCCGCAGGCTGTGAGCCGCTGCCTTGGAGTAAGTCGCGAAATGGAAAATATACCTCCTCGGGGCACCAGGGCGGCTCAGTCGGTGAAGCGTCTGGCTCTTGATTTTGACCCAGGTCATGATCTCGGGGGCCCTGAGAGGGAGCCCCGCAGGGGCCTCCGTGCTCAGCGGGGAGTCTCTCTCTCCCTCTGCCCTGTCCCTGCTCCCTCTTTCAAAATAAAGATAGAGATACATACTCATGTACAAAATAATATAGAAAATATATAATATATTCTATATATTACATATAAAATATACATGTAATTATATATATGATTATATGTAATTGCACATAATTGTACATGTCACATAAAAATATAATAATAGTATATGTTAACAAAGAATGGTAAATTAACAAATGCAGTAACACAAATATAAATAATTTCTGTTTTTTTTTAAGATGTTTAACTTATAGATTTGACAGAGAGAGAGCACACAAATAGGCAGAGAGGCAGGCAGAGGTAGAGGGAGAAGTAGGCTCCCCGCCAAGCAGGGAGTCCGATGCGGGCCTCCACCCCAGGACCCTGGGATCACGACCTGAGCTGAAGGCAGATGCTTCACTGAGCCACCGAGGTGCCCCAAGTAGTTTCTATATCAATATATAATTATATAATATGACATGTTATGTAATTATTGTATAGCTTTTAACATAAATATGATGAGTAATATATATCATATATGTAGAAAATGGAAAACTATTGGTTCTGCTTCTTTGCAGGGACGCTGACTGATACTGGAGGAGAGAAAGATAACAATG